AGACGTGTTTGCCCAAGGCCATCTGAGAAGTGAGCAGCTAGGGCAGGATTTGAACTAGATGTGTCTGACTCAAGCCCCATGATAAGCCCATGTGTTCCAAACTCAGGCAGCCATGATGGGTGCAAAGTCCTTCCCTACCTTGAGCTAAAATCCCCAGCCTGCTGTTTGCACCTGACAGTGTTCTATATTCTCAAAATAGGAGTCACTCTGACAAATATTTGGCATTATATTTCTAATGCTCCTCTATTCTTTTTTTTTATTAGAAAGAATGTTGTTTTATTAGAAAGGATGTCTTTTTTTTTTCTCCTGTGGCTCTTGCTGGACCTGCTACCCTTTGTCAAAGTGTCTCTTTAAACAGGATGCCTGAAGTCAAATGGGCCACTTCCAGTGAGTGCCAAAGTGTGGGAATGAGCAGGCTTCCCATCTCCCATAGTGAGTGCTTGCTCCATTAGCTTTTTTGTTGGGCACACCCCGCGAAGCATGATCTTTGAGTCCTCTGGAACCACTAGTTATGGGCATATCTGCTGCTTCTAAGGTGAGGGTGCTGAGGCACCAATGTGCATTGAGCACCTTGTGGATTCCAAGATCAGTTCACACACAGTGTTGCTTTGAGTTGTCTCTGTATGTCTCTGAAGCAGATCTTATTAGTCCCATTTTGCAAATGAGGCAACTGAGGCTGAGAAGGGCTATGATTAGAAACACAAAACTAAGCAAAATCTCCCAGTCTTTTTGCCCACGTGGTCAGGTTTTGAAGCCCAATAGGCAGGACGAATAACCACCACTGTGAAAATAATGAGATTGGATTTGGTTTCTCAGACCTGACATTCATAATAAGTTGGAGTTTCAAATGTTTCAGAACCCAGAGTTTGGGTATGATCCCCAACTATGCCATTTCCCTGAAATGATCATCATGGCAGTCATAAATGTCACAAATAGGACACTATTGTGTTCAGACTCCTGAAGTCTCTATCAGAGGCCTGCCCCCATCCCAGCCTCTGTGGTGACACTGACCAGCACTATTCATGTCTTGACCCAAGGACGAGAAGGAATCCAGTGAAAACACCCTCACTCCCTCCCACTACTGCCAAACTTCTTCAGCCCGTCCAAGTGGATATTATGCAAAACCACTGTGGTGGGCATTGGTGGTTTTCAACCAACATTTATTTCTTGTTTGGTGTTAACATTTTATTTTCTTTGGGAATTATAATAGATTGGAACATTGCTTTAGTTTCTTCATTCCCCTGTAAGAGAATTATACATCCATGCCCTTTATCACATGACTTTTGAGTGTCTCTCTATTGAAGGGGAGAATATCTCTCCAAAGGACTGATGTTGAGCTTGGTCATGTGGCTTTTGTGAACTGGTGGCACATGAGTGGTTATGAGGTGAGCAGAGGCTCTAAATGTGCATGTGCAGTGTGATTTGGTCTTCTGTGCGCCTATTATCCACAGTGAGAAAAACATGTGTCCTTGTCTACACAGGAGGAGATGCAGATGGTGCAGACCCAAACCCAACATTAGTCTGGAGTCAAGCCCAGCCCCTCCCAGCAGGGATACAACTTATTCTCGGATTTATAAGTAAGAAATAGAAAGGCAGCCAGGTGCAGTGGCTCATGCCTGTAATCCCAGCACTTTGGGAGGCTGAGGCAGGCAGATCACCTGAGGTTGGGAGTTCAAGACCAGCCTGACCAACATGGAGAAACCCATCTCTCCTAAAAATACAAAATCAGCCAGGCATGGTTGTGCATGCCTGTAATCCCAGCTACTCTGGAGGCTGAGGCAGGAGAATTGCTTGACCAGGGAGGCGGAGGTTGCAGTGAGCTGAGATTGTGCCACTGCACTCCAGCCTGGGCAACAAGAGCAAAACTGAAAAACAAAAAAAGAAAGAAAGAAATCGAAAAGCTTGTTAGCATAAGCCACTGAGTTTTGTAGTTGTTTCCCATAATTAGCGCAGTGATAGCTGATTAATCACTACAGGGGTGCATCCCCTGTCACAGGCCTTCAACACCCAGGGTGGGCACCATGACCCAAGCTTGGTCAGCAAGCGCATCTGTGCTGGGGACTCCTGATTTCCCATCTCACCCACTATCCATTCTCTGCCCAATTCTGCCTGCTCCAAGCCCAGCCCCCACGAGGCTCTGGTAACACTGTTTCCTTTCCTTGCCTGTCAAGCCGATGGGAGGCAAGAGGGTCTCCCTGTGGCTAGTTGCAGGTGCTCAACACCCTATGAGCGCCCTTGTCTCACGTCTTAGACCTTTCATTCATTTATCTTCATAATCCCCACCACACATACTTTCTATTTCCAACTGAGACGGCCTGGTCCAGACCACATCCTTCATCCCAAATTCTGGATGCACTTGGGCAAGTCACTTACACTTCATTTTTCCCCCAGTTGAGAAAACAGGAATTATACTGTTGCTGTCTCAAGGCTGTCATGACAGAAATCAGATCACGGATAAACAGTGGCTTGCCTTGTGCTATAGCGTCATGGTGAATTTACAATACAGGTGTGTTCTCCGGGCCCATCTTTCTTGTGCTATCATCTAATGTGATGCCAGGAACACACCAAAGCATTAATAAATATTTGTAGAATGAAAAGCCCTATGGTAGATTTTCTTCCTTTGACCTTTTGATTATTTTTCCTCTTGAAATAACAGAATAAGATACCTAGTACCATGGTGACAATCTCTATAGAAATCCATAGCTTGCTCACAGCACACCCGCAGGTGCCAGTGGGAGGCTGGCATAGATTCGGACCAATAGAGAGAAGGCATGGTTAGCCTTGTCCTGGTTACAAAGAACATGTTTTTTTTTTTTTCCCTTTCAAATGGACCTTCCTGTCCCCAATTCAGCATCACCTAGCTCTCTCCAAATGTGGGTTAATTTTCCATCAGCTCCTAGAAAGAGTGTATTTCCAGACTCTCTGGGGACAGACAGAGGAGTTTCAAACAGGATAAAGCAAGCTTCGATGGAGAATATTTGGAGCCTGCCATGGCGTCAGGCTGCTCCGACCACATTTCTGCCGGGGCGGGGGAATGTGTTTGCTTGGAACAGGTAATCCTTTCAGATACTCTAATCCGAGGTTTGAAATAGACTTGTGTTGCTACCAGAAATCCCTGTTGTTTTACCTTTTCTTTGTTAGGCTTGCCCTGGTAAAGGCTGGGGAGGCATTGGCTTGGAAGTGGAGGTCCTTCACTGAAGCCAAACAGGGTGTCTGCCTCTTTAAGAGGGACCTCTAGGAGGGACAGTCAGAGAATTACAGAGATGAAAGCCAGATGGCCACTAAATAGGATGGCAGTGAGTGAGGAGAGGGCAGCCAGCTGGGCTGTCTGCTTTATCACCTTGCAGTGGAGAAGACTTCGGCCTGTGGTTGCAAGTGGAAGATTTGGGGGAAGGGATGGCACTGAGCCAGGACCCTGCGAATGGTCCAACTGGCTTCACCTTCTACACAAACTGGGACATAGAGTTCTAGACCTGGGTGACAGAAAAAGTCTGGGCCGTGGAGCCAGAGAGGTCTGGGTTCAAATTCTGGTGCTGTTTCCCTGAGCACTGGTACAATCTGTCCGACTTCCATTTCCTGGTCTGTAAAATGGGGTGGTGATCCCATCTCACAAATTCACTGTGAGGCAAGTACAAAGAATATGATTTAAGTGCAGTGTGTGGGATAACGTAGATGTTCAGGAAATTTCAGTGCCCCTGTCCTCTGGAGAGTACAGCAATAACTATTTAACTAAGAGAGGGAGAACGGAAAATTTTTTTTTGAGAGTCTGGGATCCTGGCCATTTAAAAATGAAATCCCCAAATCCTGTTTAAATGCCTTACTAAGAATGCAAGTCTATCACTCAGGGTTAGTATCAGCTACCTGTAACAGTAAACCCAGATAACAGTGGCTTAAAGAAGAAAAAGGTTTACTTTTCTTTCACATAAAAGAACTCCTGATGTAAATAGTCAGGGGTTAGAATGATGGCACCCCAGTCATCCCCTCCAACAGGCCAAGGCTCTTTCCATCTTCACGCTCTGCTGCTCTTAGAGAGTAGCTTCCTCTGTCAAGGTCATTGCATGGTCATAAAAAGCTGCTGCAGCTCCAGCCATTATGTCCACAGTCCAGGCACCAAGAAGGGGTAAGAAGTGCAAGAGGAGACACCTATCAGATCGGTCAGCAATTTTAAAAATCTTTACTGGAAGTTTCTTCCAGTGACTTCCACTTACATCTTATTGGGTACCCTCTATGACAATAGGGTCTGGGATATTTATGGGGCAGGAGGATGCTCCCAGTAATCACAGGGGTTCCATTAGTAGGGAGCAATGGCAGAATGTCACCTCTCCCAGAGCCAACATGAAGATTCTTCAACTTCCCTGGAAAGGTCTGCCTGGGCATATTTCCCCAGGAATAATAAGGTATCTCAGGCTTTCTGCTTTCTCCACCATCAGTCCTCACTCAGCAGACCAGCTGTTTCTGGAAAGGGCCACTGGTGAGAGTAAGGTCAGAAACCTGTGGCATACAGCTGACCTCAAAGTCACAGCTGCAGGAAGGTCTTGCCTTGCCTCTGACTAGCTGGGTATTCCTGGGTGAGTTACTTAACTGCACCCCTCAGGATTCATGGATAGCCGTAAGGATCAGTGAGATACTTGAACATTCAGCAAAACATCCTGCAAGGGCCAGAGTTCAGTAGGTTGTCAGCCAAGGTTAGCCCCCATCCTTTTCAACCTCCCATTGCCCACCTACCACCTCGATGTTAGTAAAGCAACAGTGGTTTTCACCCAGCTTCAGGTGATAGGTAGATTTTATGAATCAGGAAGGTTCAGAATCCGAAGCTCAGATGGACTACATGTGGGTACCAGGTTTGCGAACCTACCTGGAACACTCTAAAACCCAAAAGGATAACCATTAAAATCTAAGATGTTTTACACTATCTCATATATGCCTATGTTACTGGCTGAATTAGTTATCCATTGTTGTGTAACAAATTACCCCAAAACGAGGTGGCTTAAAAGCCAGCACGGTTTATTATGTCACTGTTTCTCCGGGTTGAGAATCTAGGTGTGGCTTAGCTGGGTCTTGGGCTCAAGGCCCCTCCCAAGGCTGCAGGTGGGATGTCCGTGGGGCTGTGGCCATCTCAAGGCTGACATGGGGTTGGATCCACTTCCCAGCTCACTCACATGGTGGCTGGCAGGATCCAGCTCCTCACTGGCTGCTGCCTGGAGATTCCTCAGTGCCATGCAGCATGGGCCTTTCCATACGCAGCTCACAACGTGGCAGCCTGCTTCATCAGAACAAGCTAGCAAGGACAGAAGAGAGAGAACGTGAGCAAGACAGAAGTCTTTTATAACCAAACCTCGGAAGGGGCATCTGTCACTATTTTATTCCGTTCATCAGAAGCAAGTCACTGGCTCCAGCCCAAACTCAAGGGAGGGGATTCCACATGGGCATGAACACCAGCAGAAGGGATCACTCGGGGCAGGGAGGTGCCAACTGGCTTTTGGAAGTGCCAAGTGAGGTCCTGCTTCATTCACCCACCTCCACTCCCAGGCTCCAGACATGGGGCCTGTTTCCTTCTGTGAGCAAGCCCAGCTGCCCCTACCATGGGGCCTTTGCTCATGTAGTTCTGCTTTCCTGGTAACTCTTCCCTCTCTCCCTTTGTAGTTCTATTCCTTTTCAAATTTCATCCCCAACCTCATTTTTTCCAAGAAGACTTTCCTGGACACCGTGCTTCTGAGTCACAGGAAGGAGGGGTGCCTGAAGCCCTATTCAGCCCTGGGTAGCCCCAAAAGTTTGTCTTCAAGCAGAAGCCTGGGCCTTGACTGTTCAATTTGCATTCCTTGTATGGTGTACTGTGTTTGGATCTTTAGCTGTAGTTGTCATCCTCAACCAGAGAGACTTTGGGTCTAGTTCATGGATTCTTGGCGTGTCATGCTGAACTGCCCCAGCAGTCAGAATGGAGGAAAGGGATGGACCTTATTTCAGGCAAGGGCCCAGCTCTGAATATGTTTGTTTGGGCCACGTTGTTGTTATCACCTGAGTTCAGTCCTTTGCTTGTAGAAGGTATAATTTTCAGTCCATAAACTCAGGTGTGGGGTAGATATAAATATCTCTATCATAACAGTTCAGTTCCTGTTTTCAGCCTCCATTCAGCCCAGGTAGGTAACAAATCAGTCTCAGCTGATCTGCCCCTCCTTTTCCCAGAGATTGCGTTTCTGCATGGTGTACAAAGGTGATAGAAGGATGGCCACCTGCTCACCCATGCCACCTGTCCCTGGCATTTATCATTCTGGATCATGGGTCAATGCAGGTCACCATGGAGCTGTCCCTTGTTTCTGTCCACAATCTGTCTCCGGTCAGGTGACTCTGCGCTTCTGTGACATTCTGGGGCTCACGGGCGTCATTGTTTTACCTCTTGTGTCTCACAGGATCCATGAGGCACCTAAGCCCCGAGTCTCCTAGACGCACTCTTAGAAGGGCCACTTCCTTTGGCCCTTCCCTCATCCCTAAACACCCTCTTCCTTTCTGCTATTAGATTCCATGGGCCGTGCCTCTAGGGACTTTGTCTTTGCCTTGACACCTGGCAGAGAGAGCAGAGGACAAAGGTCAGTTTCTCAGGGACACAGACAGTGTCAGCACTCCCGCTGCGATAGCCTTTCCACATCAGCCTAGGAAACTTCTCTTGATCCACAGGCTGGTGGGGAGAACCTTTGCTCATGACGTCTTCCTCCAGCATTTTTTGGCTAAGCCATGAATTCTTTCCAATCCCCTGAGAAACTCATCTTGAAAGCTTAAAAGCCAAGGAAGACTGATTTTCTTCTCCTTTCTGCTGTCCCAGGAACAGCCTCAACTGATTTAAAGCAGGGAAGGCTAAGGAGGAAAAGAAAAAGCCAGAGGAAACCGTAGACCTTCTCAACACTGTGTGCCCCTCACATCCATCCAATACGCATTCACTAGCGCTTGCCATGGGTCAGTTGCTGTTCTGGGTGCCAAGAACAAAAAGATTAAAAGACTCAGCACCAAGGTTGGATGCAGTGGTTCATGCCTGTAATCCTAGCATTTTGGGAGGCCAAGGTGGGCAGATCATCTGAAGCCAGGAGTTCAAGATCAGCCTGACCAACATGGTAACACCCTGTCTCTACAAAAAATACAAAAATAAGCCTGGTGTGATGGCACATACCTGTAGTCCCAGCTACTCGGGAGGCTGAAGCGGGAGAATTGCTTGAGCCTGGAAGGCAGAGATTGCAGTGAGCTGAGATTGCACCACTGCCCTCCAGCCTGGGTGACAGAGTGAGACACTATCTCAAGCAATCAATCAATAAAAAGACTTAGCACTAGTCGTCAGAAATTTCACACCAATAAGGAAATGCGGGGAGGGGTCAGGCTTGTAAACAGATTGACAGGTGCAGTGTGATAAGAGACTGCAGAGAATATGGGAGCCCAGAGGAGGCACTCAGTGCAGGCTGACCTTCCAGGAGTGCAGGACTGAGCTTGAAGGATGGACTGGAGTTACAGAATCAAGGAAAGGAGAGTTCAGCGGAGAGAGGAGTCCCCCTGAGAGTGGGGAGGTAGAAAGACAGCCTCTGAGCGGCCACTGGTGTGGGTATGTCTGTTTGGAAGGAACACAGGTTGTGTGTCCAGGAATGGCTACAGATAAGGTTGGAGAGAAGTGGGCAGGAATCAGGTGACAAGATGTCTTGGATGTCAGGCTGAGGCATTTGGATTTTATCTTCAGGAAATGTAGACTCATGAGAGAATGTTTAAGCATGTGGTGATATGGCAGGCTTTGTGTTTTAGAAAGTTCTTCCTGGGCCAGGGTGGAGGATGGGCTGGAGATAGGGTGTCAGTGAGGAGCCTGGGACAGACATCCTGGCAAGTCAAGGTGCAGCCTGCACTGGGAAGATGGGTGGGGCACGCAGGGGATACATTCCCAGATGGGGGGTAGGGCTGGCAGGAGGGTAGGCCTGGCAGGACTGGGTGTCTGAGGGGATGTGAATATCCAGGGTGACTCCAAGCCCTCTAATAGTGGTGCCATTTGCCGAGTTGGCAGGATAGATACCCAAAGAGATAGAGGTTGAGGTTCAGATGTAGTGGCTCAAGCCTGCAGTCCCATTACTTTGGGAGGCTAAGGTAGGAAAATTGCTCGAGTCCGGGAGTTTGAGACCAGCCTGGGCAAAATTACTTCTAACCATCTATATAACTAATTTAAAAAAATTAGCCAGGCATGGTGGCCCAGCCCTGTGGTCCCAGCTACTCGGGAAGATTGCCTGAGCCTGGGAGGTCGAAGTTGCTGTGAGTCCTGATTGCACCATTGCACTCCAGGCTGGGTACCTGGGTGACGGAGCGAGACTGTGTCTAAAAAAAAGGAGAGGGCTGGGGAGGAGGAGAGGGTTGGTTTAGTCTGAAGTCCCGGTAGGAGTCAGGATCCCGTGGATAAGAAACCTCTTGGTGTTGCAGTTCTGAACCTCAGCAGAAGGTTCTGGAGCACAAAAGCCCAGACTGGAAGTACATGCAAGAGGCAGCCGTGGAACTCTAGTACTTTGCAATAGTTGCCGTGGACGGCAGTCAATTAGGACGTTTTCAACAGAGGGAAAAAAATGCAGCTAACAGTGCCCCAAATAAATAAGACATTAAAACTCGCTAAAGAAGAGAGTTTCAGGGCTGGAGTCAGCGGTCCGCTACCCCATCAAGGGACCCACGTTCTTTTTTTCTTTCTGCTCTGCCATCCTTAGCTGCATGCTTTTGGTCTCCTTGCTAGCAAGATGGGTGCTGTGTTCTATATTTCAATATTTCCATGAAATAGACCAGTGTTCCCTGAAGCATTAAATATTTCTGGGGCCTACCAGTGTATTAACGTTGGCACTTGAGCAGACACTTATCCCAGTGCAGACACAGTGTGGTGTCTTGCAGTCTTTTCACAGGACCGTAAAGCATTCAGGAGGCAGCAGGGATATGTGGAAAAAGTATGTTGGGGCCACACACATCTGCATTTGAATCTGGCCTTTCTGTGAATATTCAGGAGGTCACATCCCCTTCCTGAAATGTCCCTTGCAATACCTCTGAAAAGGAGAGTGGGACCTCCCACTCTCAGGGAGAGTCAGGGTGTCCAGGAGATGATTTTGTCAAGTGCCTGGCCTGAGCCAGCAGGAGCTCTCTCCTTTATTTTGTCACCACCCTTCCCCTCCATCTCTTCTTATTCCTCATCAGGGTATAGTTTAAAGAACAACCCCAAGAGAGGGCGAAGTTCAGTCCCATGAAGTGAACTGTTAATGGGAAATCTCAGGTAGCTGCTGGTGGGGAGAGGCATTTGAAGTGGTGAAGGTAGGGAAAATATGGACTACTTGGCTCCTGCTTTTAAAGCAGTGTTTAAAACCCTGCTCTGTTTCCCAATGAATAGAGTTTGCAATTGGGAAGATCTTTTTCTTTTTGAGATGGAATTTTGCCCTTGTTGCCCGGGCTGGAGGCAATCTCAGCTCACTGCAACCTCCGCCTCCCAGGTTCAAGTGATTCTCCTGCCTCGGCCTCCTGAGTAGCTGGGATTATAGGCAGGCACCACTACACCAGGCTAATTTTTGTATTTTTAGTAGAGACGGGGTTTCTCCATGTTGGTCAGGCTGGTCTTGAACTCCTGACCTCAGGTAATCTACCCACCTTGGCCTCCCAAAGTGCTGGGATTATAGGCGTAAGCCACCGCGCCTGGCCACAACAGAGTGATTTTTTAAAAAAGTGTTAGATGACAACCTACGTCATCTTTGGGGCAAGCTTTCAGAAATAGAGCCTCCCTTGCCCTCAGATGTCTCCGCGCTGCTCCTTAGCCTGGCAAAGCTGTAAGTGTGGAGCTCATTACAGGAGGAGCAGAGATACGCTCCTGCTCTGCCCTGAGTCAGGCTGCCTGGTGTGCTGATGAGTCACCACCTCCTGCCCTGGCCCCCTGCCTACCAGGAGGCCACCACCTCTGGCCATTTTTATTTTCCTTTGTGGGGAAAGATTCTGACCTCTGTACTCTGTGTCTCTACCCATTCTGCCTGCCCCAGACAGGGGCAAAGGTTCTCTGCAAACCCCTCCTTTTTTCAGGGAAACTGCAGGGGTTGGGGGCAGAAGAGGGCATTCAAGCAGGTCCCAGGCATGCAGAAGCACAGATAATACAAGGGTAGGAGCCTTTCGGGATTTGCAAGATGTTCAACCAGGCACCATCAATCACTGCCAAAAGAGGCTGTTATGCAAAGAAGCTTAATTGGCCTACAGGTTGGTAGAGTTTTAAACCCATGGATTGTAGCAAGGCAAAGGAAATGAAAACATTTGACAGATTCTGGGTGGGGTTGCGTGACTTACACAAACATAGAAGAGAAACATCTGGGGATAGAATGGGCCTCAGATGACAAATGGTCTATTATATAGTATATATAATACACAGACACCTATACAATATATATGTGCTGTGTGTGTGTGTGTGTGTGTGTGTGTGTGTGTGTCTGTGTGTAAGTAGAGAGGGAGCAGGCAGAAATGCAAACATTAGAAGCTTTTGGATATATATGGATATATGTATATTCACTACATGTATATGTAAATGTAATGGGATATGTTCAAAATATAACACCATGAAAGGCTCCAGGCAGAGGCTGGAGACTGAGCTGTCACCCTGGGATTGAAGACAATATGATGGTTTATTCTCCAGAATTACTGGAGATAAGGCACCTGGATAAGGCACAGCCGGCTGTGGAAGTCATCCACTGAGTGGTATCACAGGGAAAATATTCATTCATCCATTTATTTGTGGAGTCCACAGTGGTTGTTTTGAGTGTCAGTTTAGCAATCGGAGGCCTGGCTTTGAATTGCTTCCCCAGGAATCTGGGGAATCTTGGGTGATTTATTTAACTTCCTTGGGTCTCATTTTCCTAGTCTAGAAATGGATGTCTATTTCCTGGTCTGGAGAGGATAAAATGAGGTCATAGATGTGCCTGGCATATAATGGAACGTGGTCCCTAATCATAATACATAATACATAATCATGTATTGCTTTTTTTGACACACTTTAATTGAGCACATATTTTGTGCCAAGCCTTATGCTAAACACAAAGAATCTAGACATATTCAATTCATCCATGTCATAGATATTTGCTGAGCACCTACTCCGTGCTTGATAAACACTGTGCTAGGCTCCCAGGCTGGCAGGGGAGACAGATATTCAAAGAACTGCAGGTAAGTAGCACAGGCAGTTCCTCCCTTGCTGACTGCCAAAGCTTCAAAGGGTTCCAGTCCAACAGGGTCATCACAGCTGTTATCAGCCCCTTCTACAGGTGAGAAAACTGAGGCTCAGAAAGGTGGAGAGACTTCCCCAAGTCCCCACAGCTAGTGAGGGGCTGAGCCTCACCTATAGCCCAGATCAGCCAAATTCCAAGGACTGTGTCCTTTCTCGACAATGCATATCTGCTAGGGTACATTTTTCAAGCTTCGAGATAAAGACAGCAGGCAAGAAAGGGGCAAGAAAATGCACAAATACCAGAGGTATTCCTTTTCCTGGGTCTGCAATGTGGGAAGAGTCTAGCTTTGGGAATACTAAGGAGGGGTTTTGAGTAGGCAGCAAGGGGTGATGTGGATGTACACATATATGTGTGTCTGTGAGTGTGTGTGCGTGCCCATTTCTGTGAGTGTGTAAATGTGTGCGTGTATCTGCGTCTGTCTGTGTATTTGCATGACTACACATGGAAGAGAGGCAGGTGAGTGTGTTTGTCTGCCTGTGTGACTGTGTGTGCATATGTGTGTGTGTATCTGTGAGTCTGCACATGTGTCTTTGGGGATGTGTGGGTGTATTTGTGTGTCTCTATACCTGTGTGCCTATTGATATGTCTTTCAGTGTGTCTATCTGTCTGCATGTCTGTCTGTGCCTGTGTGTTGGCATGTCTGTGAGTGTCTGTGTGTGCGCCTCTGTGGGTGTGTGGCGTGACTTGTCCCGTTTTCCGTCCTCAGTTGTTTCTGTGGAGCTGATCTAGCTTGTCCTTCAGAACCAGGGGAACTGACAACGTCAGTGGCTTCAGCTTTATCTCCAGCCTGCCATCCTGTCAGAGGAAATGATGTGTGCTTGGCACAGCCTGCTCCTTATGATGTCATTCTGGCTGTGACCTGCACATTGTGCTCTCCTAGGTATTTGTCTTTTGACTATTTGACGAATACTTGCCAAAGATTAAGGGAATACGAGCTTGGAGTTTC